TAAAACTTGGAGAAATTTTAAACCACATGAGAGTGAGTTTTTCATTTTCCTCTCTGTTTTTCTTGTGGTTTTGACCTGAAAGCAGACCTTAATTTTTCATTTTTGTTTTATTTTTGTTTTGTTTTTTACATACACCATAAAATTCTGACAGATGTAAAAGGGTTAAAATCATGCAAGTATTTTCAGAACATAATGTGAACCTTCAGCATACGAGGGTAGGCAAAGAAGCAGACTCAAAGGGTACATCCTGTGTGATCCAATCACATGGCATTCCGGAGAAGGTGAATTACAGACACAGAGGGCAGATCAGTGGTTTTTGGTGGTTGGAGAAGCACAGCAGACATTGCCCATAAGGGGATAGAACATCGAAGAATTTGGGAGGATGAACTGTCCTGGACTTTGATTGTGATAGTGAATATATGACTGTTTACCTTTGTCAAAAATTCTAGAACTGTACATCAAAATGTGTGAATTTCACAGTGTAGGTTTTAAATAGTAAACATAAAACAAAAATATTAGAAGATATAGCACGTTGTTAATAGATATAACTTGCGTTATTAATATTAATATTTACTATTATTAGACATGGCTAGACTAATGGAGAAGTACCCTAAAAGAGGTACAATTGGTCTACTTTGATATCAACTAATGTGAATTAATCAAGAGGAATGCAGAGACATAAAAGGAAGCAAAAAGAAATCTGCTCCATGAAAGACTAAGAAAAATAAATTGGGAAAGAAATATTAATTTATAGGAGCTAAGAATACAAATTACTAAGATTTTTTAAATCTTCACCCAAGGATATGTTTCCATTGAATTTTAGAGAGAGGAAAGGAGAGAGAAAAGCATCGATGCGAGAGAGAAACATTGATTGGCTGCCTACTGAATGTGCCGCAACTGGGGATTGAACCCACAAGCAAGGCAGGCGCCCTGACCAGGAATGAAATCTGCATCCTTTTTGGTGTATGAGATGATGCGCCGAGAAACTAAGCCACCTGGCCAGGATCCAAATTACTACGATTTCCTTGATAAATTCAAGTTTGAGCCTAAAGGCATTGATAAATAGGGGCTCCCTTAGGCTTGGGGTTTGGAATAAGGAAGCAGTGGAACAGGCTCTGTGGAGAGACAGTGCCCAGCATCACCTGTGCATCCACATCATAAATCAGGGGTTGTACCTAAGGTTATAGGGAAAGGGATGCAGTGTGTTCTGGGAATTGAGCACCTACACCATTGGTACAGAGCCAGGCTTCTGGCTCTGAGAGACAGAGCAGCCAGAACCAAGGATACTTTCAGAAAGCCAACCGGGCTCGGACAGCTGATGTGACTGCAGCCTGGTGCTCATGCCACCAATAACCCAGACACCACTGTGGAAGCAAGCAGCACACTGTGCCAGATGTCCACTCCCAGGGTGTTTTTGTTTTTGTTTTAAATAAAGGTAACAAGATGGAGTAGAGGATAGAAGGAAATAGCCATTAATATAGGTGGCTGGGCTTTCACTGGCTCAGTGTCAGGATCACAGATGGAGAACAGGAATAGTACCTGAAAACAAAACAGAAAACAAAACAAAAAAATCAAAGGGGGTAAGATAATAATCTCAGGAGATACCTGAGTCTGCTTCATGGAGGAGATATCTGATCAGACTTTAAGAGATGTGTACATCAAAAATGTGGGGATCGATTAAGGAAAGGGAGAGAAGAGAGGGAAAAGAAGGAGGGATGAAAAAAAAATAAACGGGGAAAAATACTGAAAATGGAGGCAATGCAGGCCACGACAAAAAGCCACCCTGTAGAATAGGCATAAATAACAGGAAATGAACTAGTGTGATGGGAGCAGAGTGCGCTGGAGAGGCAGCAGGATGTGGGCGCACTATCGCCACGTGGAATCATTCCTGCTTCAGATGTTAGAAGGGAGTTTGTAAACCAGGGAACACAACAAGCTGGGTGATCCAACTTCCTGGCGCTATTAGTTCACAGCTCCATTCAATTAAACAAATATAGTATTAATTGAGCAACTATCATGTCTAACAGCATATGAAGTGCTGTAATTCATAAATATGTCGCTATGCCCTTAAGTGGGGTTGACAATCTAGAGAGAGAATCCAAAATATCTACGAGAAAAAAATAGCTTGAGTACCAGGATTTGAGGTTTTGCCTCCAGGGTACAGAATCAATAAGCACAGACTATTGCAAATAGTAAACTTTTAGAGTTTAGTATTTGCAACAGTCTGTGCTAAATATTATAATATATATCCTCAAATTTAGCTTTGTTTCCTTTTTACTTTCTTCTTTTCTTCCTTTCTAGAACTTAATATATCTAGATCTGCTACTACATAACAGTCAGTGTGTCTTGTCAAAAGACAAATAAGAGAGAAACCACATTGCAAATGGGATTTAGAAATTCTATTTTAGAGATGGGTTTATTGATATGGAGAACGATGAGAAAATTTGTACAGATAGGGAACAAGTTAAGGGGCTGGGACTTTACTCAGCCCTCAAAACTTTAAAACCACTGTTTTTACACAGAGAAAAATATGACCCCTGAAAATTACAATGTATAGAGATTAAAAAGACTTGTCATTTTGTTGAGAAAATTCCTCTAAAAGAGGAAACAGTAAAAGTTCAACTTCATGCCCGTTGGCCCCAGGGGCCAGCTCATTTGAACATAGGTGATTATCCAATTTGGCTGGAATATTACCATTTCTATTTATCTCCTTACTTCTATGTTCCATGTTGGTCTTCTTTTTCTTTTTTCCTTGTTTTTTTTTTTTAATCTATTTTCAGTTAAGATGTCTAATTAGATTCCAAATTTGAAACACATCTCTAACAGAAAGCAAATGGCAAGAGCAGTAATTAAGGGACAGCTGTCTTTTGTCTTTCTGGGGATGAAACAGGCTTTTTTTCCCCCTAAGTTATGAAATCCTACTGAATTTTTCATGATTTTTTTTTCTTATGTTTGAATAATAGTTAACTGAATTGAAAGATACTGAATTGATCTTAAATAGTCAATGCCCTTTCCATCACAGATGCTAAGCACCTTTCTTCTGAAATAAGTATAGGTTAACTCTCAGACTCTGGGCCTTGAAACATTTATTGCTGCAAATACAAAATCTTCGAATTATATATAAAATCAAATCATTCTCAGGTGCCACATAGGCATTATTCCAAGTCATTTTGCTCACTTTAACTATTTTTTAACTTATGAGAATTTTACAAATCAAGAAGAATCTGCCTTCTCAGTGGAAAGGAATGATTCAGAGCAGCTGAGATGCAAACAGTGTTTTTTTGTGTGGTTTTCCTTTGTTTAAGAGAACAAATATTACTAATATTGATATTGAAAATTACTTAGTAAGCTCTTACTCTAGTGCTCCCTGTTGGTACTTAAGGCTCTATTGTCACATGTAAAGTATAATTAGACTTTGAAGCAATTCACCATATAATTCACATCATGAAAAATCTTCTGCCTGAAAAAGTTAAACCATTGAAGCAAACAGACTTTTTTTCTGGCTTGAATTATCAAGATTCTAGAAAATTATCTATTATAATTTAATGTGCAGAGCCATAAAATAAGTCAATTACTTTAAAGCAGGCCAGCCTCAGGATTATAAGGAACTTCTTAAAATACATAGTTCCAAGAAAGAAACTTTTTAAATATTTCCTAATGTTAACCTGGCAATAACTTTGCAAATTCTCAAGTAAAATTATGGTTCACACACATACATATACACATATGTATACCTATATCATATACGTATTTATTTTAGAACTTCTCAGAACCTTTAATATGTTAATGTGCATCTAAAGCTCCTGAGAGTGTTAAAGTATTCAGATATTTTCAAACTTTCTTGACCCCAAACCATTTTATGCAGAACACATCATGAAACCAGTGTCCAGAGGAATGAACACATTTGAGAACCTCTTTGCAGAATAATAACACATCTACACCATGCTTTAGCAGGAGATGAAAGAGGGTAGGGTTGGGTGATAGATTTAAAAGCATCTATATTCTGGGGACCAGTAGAGAAGACCAGATAACACTGCACTGAAATGCCAAGGGCAGAAAGTGGCCAGGCAGAGCTCGTCCCTTACCATGGCCATTAAGACCCTATGGCCTAGGCCAGTTCCCATATTCATTCTCATCCTCTTTTCCACCCAGCTTCCTCCTATGTCTCACTCTACCTCTGAGACTTTGCTACAGCTACTTTCCCTCATTTTATTTATTCAATGCTGTTTCATTTGTCTGGGACTCTCTTCCTCATACTTCAACTCTTATGTCAATGTCATCTTCCAGAAAAATACTCTGTGTGTAGCTAGTCCACAGTAGACTCCTCCCTTGCCACCCAATATGTTCTCTGCTATTTCTACTTCCAGCATTAATCACAGTTTTCACTCATACACTGATACCTGCTTGTTTATTTCATGTCACCTCCACTGTAAGCACCAGAGGACAGGACAGGATGAGGCCCATCAGATTGGTCAGTTCTGTAAAATCACCAAATACCTCACAGAGGACTGTTTGCCATATAACAAGCCTTTAATCAGTATGTGCTGATTTAATAATAAATACTAATAATTACTTTACATTTATGTCTAGGCCTAGCCTAATGAAAACCCTTGACATTGATTAATGCAGCGGTTCTCAACCTGTGGGTCACAAACAATGAAAATACATCCTGCATATCAGATATTTACATTACGATTCATAACAGTAGCGAAATTACAGTTATGAAGTAGCAACGAAAATAATTTTATGGTTGGGGGTCACCACAACATGAGGAACTGTATTAAAGGGTCGTGGCATTAGGAAGGTTGAGAACCACTGGATTAATGTATTCATAGAAATCAATCCATCTTTAGAATATGGTCAGCCACTCATAACACACAATCACACATACTGTAAGACAACAAACTTGCAAAATATATTTTTAAATAATAGGGGCTATAAGATTGAATTATTCATCCATCTGAATATTATGTATCAGTTACTAAGAATCACTCTTGTACCTGCTCTCTTGTTGTATTCCTCAAACAGCTCTGCTCTTCGGTTTTGCTTTGCTGATTTCAGAGCTCTGTGAAGGACAGAAGGGCACAATGTTAGGGCCGGTATTTTACTGGGAAGCTCTCTTACAAAAGCATCCCTAGCTAACATAACATGTTGGTTATGCCCAGCGTTCCAAACTTGAGGACTTACATCATCGGCGTAAGATCCATGGAACAGGGCTACTTCTTTGCATTCCACATGAACCCGCTTCATTTGCTCACAGAACACCACCGGAAGGAACTATAGCTGACCCTTATTTGTTTGCTTACATGAGCCAGCACTGTTCTAAGTTACATGGATTAATTCACTTATTCCTCATAACCACTGGAAAGTCCAAGGTTACCTCAGCAGTTCCAAGTTAGGCAAACCCTGCACATTCCAAAGAAAGGCCTGTCATCCGCTCCTGGAAGATAAGCTCTGGAATAGTCTGCCTGGTAGAGGTTTTGTATGCCTGGGGCTGTGGCCTATGCTGTCCCACTTTGACCAGATATGTTTATGGTGAGCACCTGTGTTTTGCTTGGGGGAGCTGGAGTCTGAAGTCGGAATAGCTGAGGTCAACCGTCTAGTCCTGCAAGCTTATGTGATTGACCCCTAACAAAACTACAAGTGACCCCCAATAAAACTCTAGAGACCAACGCTCAGTTCAGCTTCCCTGGATGACCACACTTCATTCATCTTCACAGTTATTGTTGCTGGGAGAATTAAGTACATCCCCATGTAACTCCACTGGGAAAGGACACCTATGAGTTTGCAGCTGGGTTTTTACTTCATGTGTGTTTCTATTTGCTGATTTGAATCTGTTTCCTTTAGCTGTAATTTACAACTATGGCTATAAATATAACAGCTTTTCCGAATCCTGGGAGCTCTTCCAGGAAATCACCCAGCCTGAAGGGATCATGGGGTGTCACCAGAGGAAGAAGGTTCTTTGAGGTGTCACAGGAAAGAATTCAGAGACACACACAGGAAGAGTTCAAGCATTGATGGTAAGATTAATTAAAGTGAAAGTACACTCCTGGAGAAAGAGAGCACGGGCAGGCTCAAAGAGCAGCTGCACTGATCCCTGGGGTTATGCTCCTTTTATTCTCAGATGTATTATGGAATTAAATACAAATAAAATACAACACAAAAAATAAAGAAACCTGTAACTATTTGTGTGTTTTATGGAGAGGTCAAGTGTACTTCTGAAGCTTAAAATTTCTAAAAAAATTTTAGAAAGAAAATGCCTGGCAGATTAGACTATGTTAAAAAAAAACTTACCTAAGTAAAAAAAAAAAAAAGTTTAAACCAAAGCAGATTACAATTATTTACTACAAATGCAATACACCAAAAATCTACCCTATATAAATAATAAGTACCAAAATAACAAAGGATACTTCACAACTTATTAATGAAGAAACAACTTATTAATGGACATATGGAAAAATGTCCAACTTCATTAGTACTCAAGGAAGTGACCATTAAACAATGACCAAAAATATCTCATCTAACAGATTGGCCAAGAAGAAAAAATTTTCATGTTTGATGCCATTTTGATATTGCTCTGAGTGTCACTCTCCTACAACTCCTAAGAGCTCTAAAAGTATTCCTACCCTTTCCCAGAAAATCTTGGAAACAGTCTCACCACATGTAATTTACACAAGGTGCTCATCTCAGGCACAGCTCAGTTTAACAGCCTCTAAACCATAATAACCTTTAGGAAAGTGACTCAAATATTCATAATGGCATCACAGGTACCATACCTAGGACGTAGGAGGAATGCAATAAATGTGTTAAATATATCAATGAATTAATGAGCTTATTTCTTCATTATTAAAGTAAAAATATGGTAGTCTTCTCAAAAAAATGTTTTCATACCCTTTGATCTAAGATTACTATGCCAAATTCTGAGATTATATTCTAGGGAAGTAATGCTAAATGTATTTTTTAAAGTTCTATACATAAAGAATTAATACAATATATTACTTAAAATAGAAAAATATAGAAATAGACTAAATATAATAGAGAAATGTTTGAAAATATTGTTATAACAATTTGGTGAAATATTACGTCAGCATTAAAAAGAAGAGTTTAAAGTTCAGATTTTTAAAGGCTTATTCCAAAATGTTAAATGTGAAAAGCAGGACTTAAAGTTGTGTATTTGATCTATAACAGGCATAGTATGGTGGTTAAGACTCAGCATAAAATCTCACCTTACTAATACTTAACTATATCTCCATGAACAAGTTACTTAGTCTTCTTAAGCCTCAGTTTCCTCATTTATAAAATGGATAGTGACAATATTACCTACATTAAAATGCTATTTTCATTAAAAATCAAATTAGATGATTCAAAGTGTTAATAGTACCTGTCATATAATAAGCATTCAGGAATTACAGCTATAGCTGATATTTAAACTATTAAACAGAAACAAAACCTATGCAATTCAGATAGTTTCTAGAGTCTAGATACTAATATATTAATGCGTAGGCAGTAGTTTTTGTGTGGTAGATTTTTAGCTTTTTGGAGTCTTTGGGACATATCCCCTATGTTTGGAAAATATCCCACCTTACAAGTTTACACATCACTAGGATGGATGCCAGAAATTGACTTCTCAGTCTTCATTACACGTAAAGAGCCTAAGTTGTCCTAAAGGGGTATGTGTTGAGAATGTTTGGGTGGAAGTGTAAGACCTGGACTTTTCTGATAAGATAATGTTGTACAAGGCTTCAATTCAAAAGCACGTGCTTCTCAGAATCTCTCTGACAATCCATTCCAAAAGCTGACATCTTTGCTAGCTCCCAGAGGCATTGGAGGCACAGTATGGACCATCAGGCCCACATCAGCAGTGTGGGTGGTGGCACCTGTGCCAGCATCAGTAACTGGGTGTGCATCCTGGAGTGGTGCTCATATGCGTGTGGTTACACTTGGAGTTCCTAAGCCAGTGGGTGGGTTGCCTCCAAGTCTGAGCTTCTGGTCATTAAAACTTTAATGGATTCTATGCACTTTTGCCTTTAGCAGCCCTTTTCTCCATCTCACACACACACACACACACACACACACACACACATATGTGCATATAATTAGAGTTTATAACTGAATTTATATAAAGTAGATATAATAATACTATGTGATAAAATTTTTCAACCCAATATTTTTTTCTTCAGATCTTAAAAGAAATGAAAACATTTTCATGGGCCCATAAAAGCTACGCAGGTCATTGGCATTTTGTCAACTATGCCTGCTAGAAAAGTTGGCCCAACTTAATGTTTTTAGATTAATTCCTTTTCTCTTTCAACCAGCTTGAGTCTATTCTGTTTGTAGCTATGAACACTGATGATACAGATGGCGAAACTACAGTGAAATTTTTATTTTTAAAACTTTTTCAAATTTCTCCAGTACTTTAAAAAAGCAAGTATTACTTACCAAAGGGAAGATGGGACGTTAAGAAAATCTGACTGGTGAATGTCATCACCAATTTATAGCATTAAATGACAGTTTACATACATATCTCAGAATGTCAAGCCAGAAGGGGACTGCAAAGATCATTGTGATCAATTACCCATCTGTCATTTGAATCATCTATACCTCATATCCTGACCAAATTGTCACATTCAGCAATACTGAGCTCAGTAGCTCACTATCTTAGGAAGAAAATGAGATATTCTATCTCTTCATAGCTTTGACTGCTAGAAAGTTATTCTTTAATACTAAGTCCAATTACCTATTTCTGAAACTTTCTTTTCTCCCCCTGTATTTGCAACATCTGAGTATTCTTCATACTCCCATTTTAGATATCCCATATCAGTGCCTTGGAATCATTGCATAGCAACCCAATTCAAAATATCTTTATATCTATTCCACACACTTGTTACTTTGATTCTGCATCCGTCTGTCATTTCCCTGGGTAACCTGTTGCTCGAACGCAGAAATGTGAATTGCTAAATCAGAGGCATTGTATCTTCTTTCTCTTCAGATCACAAACTCATCATTTCTTTGACTCCCATCAAAGGAAAACAAAATTGCACTGTTCCATAGTTTTAAATGAAATTTGGATCTCAATGCAAAATGTAAATGTTAATGTGTTAGAAGGAAAACACTCCTACTTCTTTGTTTTTCCTGAAGAAGCTAGCCAAAATGGAACAGTGGACATTGTACAAAACTGGGAATATAGAAATACTGATTCTAAGTATTCTAAGTCTTGATTCTGCTATTAAATTCCATGTAATCTATAATATTCAGATCCCTCTATCCCTTTAGGAATAATATAGACTCAACATTTTTTGATGACTTGATTTCTAATAAAGAATTCAATCCCTATGTCAATAGGTATACAAAGAAAGTAAAATTAAAATTAAACTATTGAGCAATATCATGTCATTTGTATATAAGATTTGGCTTTAACCAATGAACAAGAGAAATATTAAGTGTGATTCAAATCAAAAGTACACCATCATTACTTAGCCCTTGATTGCCATGAAGTCTGCATTTTTTCTGCTCTTAGAAACCAATAGATCTATATATTCTACACTCACAGATAAGAGTTCTGATCATCCAAAAAAAATACAGAAATATTCCATAGACATAAGTGATGACAAAACCTGTGTCTACATTAACTGAAAGTCCTTTCCTCTGATTTACTTGTTCAAAACATACTAGGTTCTTGTATAAGTTGTGGTAATAATAGCTTTTGTAATAATCATGAAATCTCAGTCACTTAATTAATTAATTAATTAATTAATTGATCCAATTTTTGGCTGAAGGGGCAGAGAAGGAGTTCTACTTTAAGAAGTCATTCAGGAACCCAGGCTGAGAGAGACCCCACTATCTTGAGGGCAACCTAAATATGGACATCCAGCAAGGAGATTGAAAGAGAAGAGAATGAGAATGATATGGGAGCACTTTAGGGAGCAGGTCTGGATGTGTCACATGATCTGCACCTTGGAAAGGAGCCAGGATCTCTAATAGACAGCTGGCCATCTCCATCACAGTCTTCTTTAGATAAAGATTGTGGCCCGGTGGTTGAGCATCAATAGATGAACCAGGAGGTCA